ATCTGTGCTTGCAAACCTCAGGCAACAGGTGATGAGGAGAGGATACTTGTTTCCAAGATAATATTTTGGAAAACAGTAGCTCAAGTTAGTCACAGTTCTCTTTAGACATTCTGTATAGTATGTACCTATGTAACTATTTGTCACTGAAGACAGTAAATTTGTGCAATGGAAAAAGAAAGCAGATTTTCTTGGACTGAAAGCTCAGGTGAAATGTATGTGGTGGTAGGGGAAATCACATGAAGGTGTAATACAAAAATTATACATTTATCTCATTTCTGTAATTGGGAGGTCTTTTACTTTCAGGCATAACAAAGTGTACAATCACTCTAAAACCACTCTTAATACCATACCAGTGAGAAGGAGTAATTACAAAGCCTTTTTTTTCCCTCAATGCTGCAGTGCTGTCAATTCCACAAAACACCTGTGCAATTTAGTAAACTTCATATACTGAATACTAGTCATTTCAAAGGTGAACTTCATCTGTTGTCTGGTTTACATTACTGTTCAGCTGATTCTTGACTGAAAAATATATGGGGTCTTACTGAAGAGGCTTTATTTTCCTAATAGCATGGATGCCAGAGGACTTCAGGATATACAGGGAGAGAGCCAGTTGTATTCAGCACTATAATATGCTTTCCATTACTGATAGAAATAATAATAAAAAATTAATCTGAAAATTATGAAATTCTTATTAACATGATTCCATCTAAGTGAATGGAGAGACTGTCTCTGCTAGCCCTAAAGATACATATATTTTCCGGTTGGTATAGCAAGAATCTGTCTCTCTGCACATACCTATGCTACTATGAGAGAACCAGTGGAGTTGTGAGCCTTCTGTTTTCTTCCCTGTTAAGTATTTGATCTAAGTTTTTGAATGTGAGTGAAAATCCATTCCATTGACAAAAGTGCTTGTCACCCCACTTTGGTCTCTGATGGCTCAATGCCCTATACTTTTTCTATGGAACAACTATCCAGGTATTCCTCAGCCAGACCCATCTGTTACTTAGAAACATTTAATGTAAAATACTATAAGGTGAAGACTTTTGTCAAAGCTCAGCATTCTTTGGCAGTGACACATCTATGACTAGAGAGTAATCTTTCTGTTTTATTTATTTTTTTATTTATTAGTGGATATAGGTTTTCAAACAGCCTACGGAAGTTGAACTTAATGGTTCTCTTTCAGAAGTCCATATGTTTCAGTTCTCCTAAAAGTGGAAAACTAAAAATTTGTCATGAAGCAGAAGCATGCTGTGCCTGAACATGGACTTTAAGGCATATGGAACTCATTTCAAGATCAGGACCTGCATGTCTTAGTATTATTAAGAGGAGGTAACTTTTAAAACCCGGATCCTCCTCACTGAATACAGACATGAGACTCATTTTAATAATTATTTCTTTAATTGCATTCTTCTAGTTAGCATTACAAATGATTATGTCAGTGTTCCCACTTAGCTTAAGGCAGCTCTGATTTAAAGTATACTGTCACAAATTCTGTTCTCATTAACACTGATGCAGCTTGCTCTGTTGTGCAGTAGATCTTGCACAACAGTAGATCTGGAAGACCACTAAGAAGCTATGTGCTTCAAAAACCCAAAGTCTCAAAAAACAGGTCCAAAAAGATCTTAGTTGTCTCAAGTAAGTTATGGACAATATATAGTTATCTACCTCATATTGCAATCCTGAAAGTCTGAACTTTAATGTCATCAAACTGGAGGAAGTCTGTCCACAGCTTGCTTCAATTCACAAAGTTCTGAGAAGCTGAATTTGTACTTTTGTGGCTTTTCAAAAAACTCTTACTCTTGGCCTGTCTAAGCAACACATTTCAAACCCTTACAGGATCTACAAATAAGATGCTTTTCTTCTTTTCACTGGATAAGACAGTACTTGCCCACAAAATCCAGCTTTGTGTAAAACATAGTGAATTTTGTTTTACTCTATTTTTAAGCACAACCATGAAATTTGTGTTTAAGTGATTTTGGTATTCCTTTAGCCCAGAAGACGCTTATTCAGTTTTTGTCTTTATAGACTCAAAATCACAAGTCCTAATTTCTGGAAAAACATCTTAACTGTATCTCCTGATGATGCCATTCATCTTGATAATATGATTAAAGTCCTGCTGCGACAGGTTATGAGTGTGTGTGAATGCTGACTCCCAAACATAGTGGATAAGACTGAAGGGAGAGGATTGGCTTACATTCTTTACTCCATGAAGTTGGAGTATGTCCCTTGTGTGAAACTGTCATTGAAGAAAATTCTCCATACTGTCAGTAAGTCTGACCTTCCAAGAGTAATCAATGAGTTGTAGGTTTTCCGATGGAAGGGTGGTGCATGCTTGAGTCACACTGGACAAATGAAAAAAGCCTCTGGCTCTCCTGCTTCCTCAGAGAACTGTCATGAATTTCTAGTCTGTGATTCAAGTGGTCTTGGTGGTTTGTTTACCATTTCTGAGAGGTCTATAACACGTAATTCAAAAGGATTCCTACTAACAGTTGCTTTCAGTTTCCTAAACAGGGCTCTCTCGTATCTTTAAGAGAATCTGTTGGGAGGTCAAAAATTGAAAAGTTATTCAAAATACTGCTGCAACATCTCTTCATGCAACTACATGCTCTTCATATACTTGTGAATAAATCACCATGGTAGTCACATTCCTTCTTCTCCAGCTGGTTTAAAGGAAAGAGTGGCCTCTCATTCATTTCTGAAAGACAGCACTCTGGAATTCTGCACTCCTCCTGTCTGTTCTAGAGGCAACCAAGGTGCTGCTGTGAGGGATATGCAACTTGAGGATGAACATTTCAATCGCTAAATGACTTCCTGAAGCTTTACCTAACCTAACTCAAGTCCCAAAAAAATTATCCAGACACTTTACAAAATTTTATGTTAAAACTCCCCTTTATGTGCAAGGGGAGTTTCTGTGGGGTTTGGTGTCCTTGATTTTATTTTTTTTTAATCAGAGAAATGTCAGAGAATGGCTCCATTTTCCCAATTAAAAAAAAAAAAAAAATCAGAATTACAGAATAATTAATCCTCCTTGAAGACATTTACATCTAAATAGCAGCAACTGATCTAATGAACTCAAATTTACTATGCTACAATGAATGTAGATCATGGAACAAAGCATATTTGGGAAAAAAATTAATATTTATACAGTGTCATTCTTAAACAAAGACATCCAGAATAATTAAGTATGTGTGTGTATGTAAGAATGAGTTTCTGTAATTAGGAAGCATTCTTTTGGTACATTTTATAGCTTAGGATGCAATGAAAACTATTTAATTGTATTTCAAAGAGCAGTCCTATTTGGTGAACGAAAAGATTTTTTTGCTTAGTTTTACGGATAAATATAGAATCTCTACTTGTTTTCCCTGAAACTGCTGAAATCTTGGCCACTGACGTCAAGAGGGCAGGCTTAGGCTCAAGCAATACTTGTCAAATGTATTTCGTTCAATTTACAGCTATTTCTTCTCAACTGCCGCCCGTCCTCTAAATGCAGTAAACAGCGGCATCTAGAGGCTATTCTTATGTACTGCATGTCAACCCCAAGCCAGCATCTTTTCTGCGAAGGCTTTGACAAGCAAAGTGAAAGCATGAAGCTAGACAGTTGCCATAGTAATATTTTTTATATATATATTACTGAATACTTGGCTTTTGGGACGCTTGAAATCCTAACACACTATCACAACAAAATATTTGAATGCCTTAAGGCTGTTCATTTAATCACAGGCATTTAAAGAAATTAAGCTTAGAAAATCCACTGTTAATGTGAAACCCTGGTTTTAGTTCTGTTAAGGTGACAAATTACCATCATAGAAAATAAGGAAAGAGTTTTTAATATCATGTAGTTTTGACCAATGCATGTTTAAATAGTTGCCATTAGCTATTTGTACTTACTATAACATAATTCAAATTACACTAAGAAATTTATAAAAAGTATTTTTAAAACCTAACTAACCCCAGTATATAATAATTTTTATTTCATCAAACAACTCTATGGAACCTATGGTAGGAAACAATATCTTTGAAATATCTCCTGCTTGTTACAGTTTCATACTATTTTTCAAAAATTTAGATATCTAAGATTGTGTCTAATTTCAGTCATGGGTCTGGCAAGAGTGCAGTCTGTATAGAACTTGAATGCAATGGGTGCATTAGGATGTAACTTATGTGTTTTACAAATGAGCTGCATTAAGAACATACCATTTCTTAATGAGGTTTTAATGTTAATTAAATAAAAAAATGTAATATGAAATAAAATCAAACAAGACATGATACAGGGATTTAATTACAACAAAGTTTTGGTAAAGCTGTCAAGTTAACTACTTAAAGATAAAATCTTTGACAGTGTGATACTGGCTAAAAGCAATCTTCCTTTTATAATTCTGTTTAAATTAAAGTGACCATCCATTTTGAAGGTTGACATCACTTATATCCAACAATAAGCTTACATTTATTAGGGTACATATTATGGGAGTATTGATAGTATTAGAATGGTGACTGAGGTAATTAAAAACTCTACTGCATTCAGTGAATTACTGTCTGACAATGAAGGTTGCAAACACTTGCAGAAATTAAGCTAAAGGAAAGAGGATACCTGTAAATTGACACTTTTCCTATTATAGTGACTCTCTCAAAATTTCATGACAAGGATAGTAGTAACATGATCTTAATTGTAATCAAGTAGAAATAATAACTCTAAAATAATTAGAAATACTGTTTCAAACCCACTTGTGTAATCAAAAGGCCTTACTTTCTCATGTAAGACCAATAGAGCTGATAGTGCACCCAGTTACGAGGGACAAAGGTAGAGGGGATGGAGGAAGCACACATCATCCAGGGCTTCCTCCTGGAGAAACGGAGACCACGACCCCACAGGAGTAGGTGCTTCATTAAGCACGACTCCACTGTATTTGGGTGTTTGCCTGGTAAATGTGTTCAGAAGGAGGAAAAAAATATGTTGATGCAGTTACACAGAACTGTTCTTATTTCATGCACTTTATTTTCAGATGGAGGGGCACTGTGAGACTGACTGCTCCCTGTGCAGAGCTCAAGAGGCAGCATACACAACAGAGGGTAAGTTTCTGCACATTAGTGCTTTTAACATGCTCACTAATGTTTATACATCTCCAGAGGGTTTTGGTGTAGGAAGACAGTTGCTCTAGCAGGGTATCTGGAGGTAAAGTGTGAACTCTAAGGAAAGAAGTGAAAAAAGCAAACAGATGGACTTCCTATCTCGAGATAGCTGGGGAAATGGAAGCGGTCCATGGGAGCATCAAATAGGAAAATGAAATCTCTTGCAGTAGATACTTTTTTTTTTTTGGTTGCAAAGTAATACTTTATACAATTTAGCTGTAGAGATGATACGCATTTAGGAAGCACTAGGTAGCAAAGGATGTAGGAATACTCTGACAAGAAAGGGCTGCAGTCACAAAGGCCAAGACTGAAGCAGAAACAAAGGCAACACCGAGAGAAAGGGTATGAATTAGGAAACAAAAGGAGAAAGAGAGCAGCATCTATGCGAGTTTCTTATAATTAAAACAATATTTTTGATTGGTCATTATACAATCATATTTTTAAGCTTAATTGCAGCATTGATGAGAATATTTACATTTTATACGTGCTCTTATTTGATAGTATTACAGTGAAGTTGTACATTTGTCGAGTTGTCAGTGGTCTAATGCCTTGATCTGTGGTGCCCTTAGCGGGTGATATAGTTCAATGTTAAAAGTACTTGCTGGAGTGTCTCAGACTGTCCCCACCAAATACCTTCAGTGCTTCAAAAAATGGATTCTGTGGAAAGAATCACACAAATACAATTGCTCCAAGTGTGAAATCTCAAAGTAAAATTCTTGGTGTAACTACTTTCCAAAATGTAACTTTTGCTCAAAATTAGTTTTGTTAGCTCATTACAAATGAATATTTGTATTAAAATGGGAAGGGGTGTCCATGAACTATCAGCATGCTAAGTCTCCTATATTATCTGCACTACTATTATATGGAATGTTGAGGTGTTATTTCTCTTCATAGAGAGTTTATTTTTCTGGAGGGCAGCCAGAAATTTCCATTTCCACAAATATAGTTCACTGTTAAAAATACTGTAGGCTTTCATGAATTCATTTTTGGGAGAGACATGGTGCAATTTAAAAAACTGTAGGAAGGAACAACCCTGGCAAATCACATTTTGCTCTGCTACACTTAGTTTTTACTTTCTCGGTAATAGTTAATTACATGCCATATTGAAAATCCTCCTTTGCACTGGCAAACAGTTGAGAAACAGCAGGAGTTTATGAAGCAAATACCTGCCCTTACATACCAATTCATGGAACTGGGAAACTCTCTTACAGACAGCAATATAGATGAGGGTAAAGAAGATTGTGAGAACAAGCTTTAGCTGATGGTGTCAGAGGATTGCTGCTGGAACCGTCTATTAAATGTGGATTCCTGGTATTGGACGAGATAATCACACTGAATTGATAGGATAGCACAGCTCGCAATGGCAGGAATATGTTTGCAGGAAATTTATGTCAAGGTTGCCTTGGAGCTGCCAGCATCATACCAATATAAGATTTCCTTGTCTATAGAGATGCATTTTGTTGCAAACATCTGGAAACATTTCTGGCTGCTGCTGGTCAGTTGCAAACCTACTTGAAACCACTGCCATGTCATACCTAACACTGGGGATCAACAGAAATGCAGGTCTCAATAAAAGAGTAAGGCAGGAAGATACGTTATGGTGAAACATCTATATTAAAAGCTTCATATTCTCAAATGGCAGCTTTGGAAGCAGCTTGTACCTGTTAAAAAAGACCAACCAAACAAACACCACCACCACAAAAACAAAACAAAACCAAACCAAACAAAAAAACCAAAACCAAACCAACAAACCAAACAAACAAACAAAAAAAGAAAACCAACCCAGACTTTAATCTTTTTTTTTTCTTTAAGGAAAGCACCTGAGTTTGATATTGTGTTTTTAGCTTTTGGCAAAGTATGCTGTATTGGGAATACTTTGCACAACCACAGATATGAGAGTGCTTGCATTCCTGCTCTTTAGGTTGTCAATTTTAGAGCATATATGTCCATTAATAATTTTCAAACATTTTAAGTATGGAGATACACATTTAGACCTTGAGGCTTATGCTTGATTTTCAACAATATAAGGAGCTTTGTTTTGTATATGTTCTGTCTTTAGTTAGGTGACGTTCAGACAAGCTGGGGCTGGGTCAGCAGTTGGTTGACATACTCTAGGACGTCTTTGAGTCCTCACTGTTGATCTTGCAGTTAGAGACCTTTCTGGTGTGCTCTGTGATTCCTCTCTAGTCTATGTGCTCAGATTTGTTTTACAAATAAAAAACCAAGTGCAGAGGAAGGAAAAAAAAGTGGAAGTTAATAATTTTCTGCTCTGAAGTTGAGCCTGCAACAGATCCATCCACCCAGAGAGTAATAATAATCTAGAGTGGAAATACTTCAGATTTATATTCCCATATACCAGCGGGATTCTGCTTCCGAACATAAAAGGCTCAAAATTAGTTAATAAATGTCGTGATCTTCTGCATGGGCTCTCTGAAATCTGAATCCTTTACATAGCATGTTATTTGCAGAAAGAAACCCTCATGGAACTTCTCTCCGTATTCACATGGTAAGAAAGCAGGCAACTAAAAGAACTCTGAGAGAGAACAAAAGGACAAAACCAAAGCAAACTAAAAAAAAGTGTTGCTTAGCAATGCATCCTGTACCACTCCAGGGGGATGGTCTTTGTCACAGATATTTACATGTTGTGAGTAGAATTTATTGAAAAGCAGAGAAACATTTGTGCAAAACCAAAACCGGAAGGAAATGGTATATTGCATTTTTCTCTCAGTGCTGTAAAGATCAAATTAGAAGAAAAGACACAAGTAAAAAATACATGTATATGTGTGTTTTTAAAGGGAACTTATTTTGAAAAAAACTGGTTTTTTTTGTTTGGGTTTTTTTACGTTCTCTTTTCTTTTCTACTCCTGCCCTGTTTGTGCCCTTTGGTTCAGTGCACTGAGTGATAGCTCTGTTAGGGTTTATTTTTATCATTGTGACTTTATGCCTATGAAAGCTTCAGAATGATGAAAAAAATGAATATTTAACTTTAGAAAACTGAGTGTTGGAAGAGTGGCATATAAAAAAAATTACAGATCTTAATATTTCTTTTGGTGCTTTCATGACCATTTAAGGAACTGAGGATGTGGAAGAATGAGAAAGATGGAAAAAATCCTTCAACATTGCTCATATTACAGTATTAAATTGCAGGGAGCAGGAAAATAAAAAGACAATAAATTGAGGACATTTCAACATTTACATTACTTACTGTCTCCAAATCTTTTAAGAATTATAATTGAAAAAATCTGTAGTAAGAAAAAAAATCTTTAACAATTGTCTTCGTTCTTTCAAGTGGTTACTTTTCGGGTTTTTTTTGGTTTTGTTTTCTTTTTTTTTCTAGAAAGTCTTACCAGTTTAGACATCTCCTTTTCCCCCCCTTATGGTTGGTATCTTTTCCAGCAGACTGCTACAGACCTCATTCCAGATTGGTGACAGTGTACTTTTTTATCCTTTCCCTTCTGGTGCAGCACATTCAAATGATAAAAAGCCTTATCATGTGAATGTGCTCACTGAGTACATGATACCCACACATCATGCATATTAGTTTTCACATGGATTGATTGGTGCCATGCTTTAGGTTACAGGTTTTGTAGTTTCCTATGAGGTACATTTCTGAGTGCAGCATCCTACACTGTCCAAGGTATATTTCAGAGCTTTTTATAATTCCATTTTATTTTAGCATTTTATCAAGTATAATACATAACATTTTTTATAGCAAATTCTGGCTAGGAACATTTTACAGCATAAACTTGCATATGTATGAAAATATATAGAGATGACAGGGCACGGATGAGGCAGAAGGTAGAGAGTATTTTTAACCTCTAACATTCTCAACACTCGGTGCAAGGCACCATTTATTTTATAGTGGAATTCATACACGTCTTCCAATGATTAAAAAAAATTGAATTTAAGGCACAGAAAGTGTCATATTTTGGCTCTAATATTACAAGGTAGAGACACCTTGCTGTTTGTGCCAGTATAGATAACTATGTTCTTTTATCACCTTAGAAGGAATCCTTCTGAGGGATGAAAATCCTCAGTACCTTCCTGATCTGTTCTTCTTAAACAAGCAAGTTCTCTGCTTCCTGGCTGCACAAGTGAATGACATTTTACTATGTAAGAAATGTGAGAGAAATACACATAGGATTAGTTGCTTGTCCTCCAATAATCTCTTAAATTCTTTTAGCCTTTCCTACCGCTTACCACCGTGTCACAGTGACATGTTAAACAGCCTGAGTTATTTGTTTGTTCACAGTTTCTGCGAGCAGGATGTTTTTCTGAAAGGCTATGCTGGACAGCAAGGTCAAAAGCTGCTGCTTTGTTTTGTCCTGGATTTTGCACCCTCTGAAGGGAGAGAGAGTTGGTGTTATCTCCAAGAGCGAGCTTAGAGGCTTTGCTGGACAACCTTTGGCAAGTGCAGGGTGGAGCAAGCAGGGAGCCTGCAGCTGGCATGCGAGTCAGTGAGAAAGCAGAGAGCACAGACACAGAGGTGACAGAAAGGAAACTTTTTGAGACAGTCAGAGGGAATCTGCTGCAATCCACTGTGAAAACTGCAGGAAGGAGAACAAGGTTAAAAGGAAGGATGGGCACAGTGGATAGGGGAAAAATTTTTTTGCAAAAGGTTTAAGCTGTTTTCCCCAGAAAATCTTCCTTTTCTCTGTTGTAATAGTTACCCTATCCTACCTTCTGACCTAGTCAATGATTATTTTTAACACTAAAAGCCCTATTTTGTGGTTCGATGTAAGGAATTATGTTGGCACACCTACCTCGTATCTCTGGCTGACTCAGTGTCACATCACATTGACCAGCAATTTGCACAATGAACAGCCTCTCAGACACAGGCCAAGAGGAAAAGCTTACCACAATGCCAATCTACATCCAGAAGAACTGAGGTGGAAAAAGTCCTACAGTTTCCCAAAACAGGGAAGGGGATATGAAGGTAACGTTTCTGAACTGGATGTAGGGGAGAGTATTTCTTCTCTAGTGCCAAGTCAGCTGCTGCTGGGAGCTTATTAACCTCTGTGTATGGCCATTGAGGAATGAATTTCTATCAGTTTACAAGGCATAGAAAGTGTTATAAGGCAGAAGATGGAAAAAGACATGATAGGACAAACTGAGAGCAGTCTGAAGGGCACATCTTTTTATTAAGCCTGCCGAACCCTGCCTCCTGTAATAGCAGACTGCAGATCTTTCCAGGTTTTGTAAATAACCTGGTGTTTCTTTTCTCCATTACAGTAAATATACAGCATAAATTTAAGACTGGGCCTTAGACTTTAAGAATCTTATCCCCCCCTTCTCTGGTTTCCCATAGTTGTGTGTTCTCCAGCACAAACACCTTTACTAAGCCTGACATTAGCATAAATTTTATCCAACCATTCGTAATTGCCATTGGAAAGTTAGAAATGTGAATAAAAGTGCAAATAGCCTTGTTAAAGCAAACTGGAGTCAGTCAGTCAGTCGCTGGTCACTAAAATGATGCTGATACAGGAAAGAAAAATACTGCCTTTCAGTAACTTTGCCTCTCCCAAAGTATAACCATTTAGATAATGACTGTGCTAACATTATTCTAAATTGAACAAGACTTCTGTAAACGTTGGAGGAAACCACATGGGAAATTACTGCAGAAACTTAGACAAAAGAGAATCAGGTCCATGGTGATACATCCCTCAGAAAAGTCCGCAAATGGCCTGGGATAAATTATCTATGCATCATCTTACGGTGTATGTCTAGTAATGGTGTCTTCTCTTTTGACTTAGACATCTTTTTTTCCACACCCCCCTCTTTAGCACTGTTTTGTTGGAGATGTGTAGATTTGTAAAGGATTTTTCAGGGAAAAAAATCAGATGAGTACTGAAAGTATGAAGTATTTCTTCTGCTTGAATACAATAAGCGATGGTCTGAGAAGGACTTTTCTCCTGCCTGCCAGAGGACTGAACAGACCATTGCCATGATCTCAGGGGCTGCAGAGAATAGGTAGGTGCAACCAGCACAGGGTTTTCCCTCCAATGAATATGTCAAAAATAATAGTTTCTTTTAGCCAAGTTTTGGATCTTGAATTCAAAAGGGAACATGATGCAAAGTCTTAACAACCCACAGGTTTCCAGGAAGGGAGTTAGGCAGAAAGTGCATAAGTTGACTAGACTGTAAACTGAATTGATGTGTGTATATGTATTCTGGTGGCTTGTGTACATCCCATTTATCATAACCTTGCTTCTTTTTTACATGTATAGTTATCTCATACAATTTTCTTTAATAGAAATTATTTTAAACTTCCATTTTTTTGTAGCTTAGAAAGACCACTTTTATGAAATATTTTGCTGATACATTAAAAATAAATCACTTTTCACACAGTGTTGTTACTAAAGTAAAGCAGTGCAAGTTCAGTTGGATAAAAATGAAGATAAAAAAAAGCAGTATTGAAAACCAAGATAGTCTATGTGATTGTTTCTCAGTATTTTGGATAAGTCTCTCACCTCTGTCAACTGAGCTGTGGTGATGCTTTCACAGATAACATGAAAACATGTTATCACTGAGTAATTTCTGACCTTATTCAAAGAAATGTCTTTTTTTACTTTAGTCATCAAAAAGCTACGTGAGCTGTTGTGCGGCACCCTTGGTGTCAACAGTACTTTGTTGCTGGTGAGCTGAATCTCCAGCACAATAGTAGGTAGCTACTGATCAATAGCAACCGAAGGTGACACGTTTCCAGAAGATGCTGGCTGTGAGCTTCTGAGCCCTCTGGAGTACAAAATTTGGCATGACTCACACCCAGAATCTTAAGCAGCCTGTTTTATCCTGATTCTGTAGTTGTTACTGATCTATGCAACTCTTTCCACAAAGCAGTGTTTGCTTTATGAACATCAAAATGGCAGTTTTAAAGGTAATTATGATCCAAGCAGCAATCACATTCTTCTCCACAGTTCTCTGTGCTTGTTGCCAAAACTATTGTTTCTATCATTAGCTTTATTAGCAATCTAACTTAATTAGCGAAATGACATTTTTTAGTGGCAAGTTCTCCAATACATCTCCACTAACCATTGCATATTTATGTGGATTTTATTCATGTAAATATGCTGGCAGGTGGGCAAAAATGAGATGGATAGGGGACAGAAAAGGAAGCCCAACAGAGAGGCCCTTCCTACCCAAAGTGTTTGACCAATGAGTATGCAAAATGAAAGGACAAGGACTGTTTCCTATGGTGGATTTCATTAAAGTCTTTATTCTTAAGGCACAAGAGCTAATTGCTGTCAAGAGAATTGTGCTAAGGTGGCAAGTGGAAAACTGGTGACGTATGAAGTGAAATCTGATTTCCAGGTGCTCTTGCCTAGGCACAGAGGGAGCATCTGCCAGCTACTGCTTTCCTTTCCCTTACTTGTAAAATAGAAGAGCAACTCCCAGGTGTTTTCCAGACTGTAAGAGTGGCTTCAATCACATACTCCCCCTGGAAATCTTCTTCATAGAGGCAATAAGAAGAACAAGGCTTCACAGGGTTAATTGCATTCCCCTAAGGACAACACAGCATGCACAGTACCACTTAGTATGAGAATGCCAGACATATGATGGTGGATGACCACTACAGGATTTTATTTTATTTAGTGCCAGTGCCATTGCGGTGGCATCGAATGCTTGATAGCTATCAAACGGCTGTTTATATACTTTGCTATGTTACTTCGATGGATATTGTGCCTTGACTTTCATTTTCCTGCACTGCTTTTTAATATAACTTGTAATTCTGTGAACTCAACTGAGATCAGTTTTATGTAAAAGCATCTTCAAGTTCCTTCACTATGTGTTTAACTGTTGCTTCCTTAGACAGAGGGCAACTTTCCTAGATTTTTCTATCTGTATGTGCCTCAGAAAACAGAGTAATGACCCTGTTGTATTTTACTCAGAAAGTAATCAAACCCCCTTGCTGCCAAAAGAAACAGGTGATTTTTCAAAGTCCTGTTAAGCATAAACTGTGTGCAGATCATCCCTGGTGTATTTGTAGGGGTGTGACCAGATGTATATATTCTACCATAGAACCATCTGTTTATCTACTGTCTTGTATAGTATAATATGTTACGATTGAAAACAGATTCACATCTATAGAGGAAATGGAAGTGTAACAGTGAATTTCAGAAGATAAAGTAGGACAAAACAGATCTGCGTATGGACCACCTGGAAGTGTTGCACAGGTCACAGCCCACTTTTTCATGGTTGTGTCATGTGCAGAAAATAAGGGATGGGAAGTCACAACTCAGGTGAATAGTTTGAGGTATCTGTAGTTTGTGGACTGGCCATCCTACGAAAGGACTTTCCTGCAGGCATATAAGAATCCAATTCGCAATATCCAGTCAAGACCTCTCACATCCCAAACACCCATCCAATGTGCTAAAACAATCAACTGAAGGACCAACAGCACCTTAAACTTTAATGCAAGACAGGGACTGAGCAGGGAAGACTGAGGATGCTTCTCTCATGAAGGCTACTTTAATAGAAAATCCTTAATGATCAGATCTTAAATGTTCTAATGCTTTGTCTTGACACTTTGTACCTCATAAATAGTTGAAGAATTCTTCAGTTTTTCAGCTGTTATTGTAATTAGCAAAGCTAAATGACTTTCACTTTTAAATGTGAATCACACCTAACTGCTTAATGTCACTGCCATAAACGTGCTTTATTGACATCTTAAACCCTTTCACTGTAAGAACACCTTTTCTTCCCTTGCATATACCTCTGTTAGTAACAATCACGTATCCCTACCCAAATAAATTGCTCATCAAGCAGCTCTCAGCCTAGCTGAGACAGCTAGTGATCAGTGGTTTTGTAACTAATTTTTCTCATGCCTTTGTTTATGTGTTAAGGGCCTAATTTAGCCTTCCTCTTTTCTAAAACTTTGGCTGTAGTTCACCCTGAAACTTCACAATGTGTTTTGCTGTGTTCAGGGGAATTAAAAAAAAAATAATTGCAGACAATTTATCTCACCTCATAGATTCTTTTCTACTACCAGTGCTGAACAGTCATGTAAATTTAAATTTAAAAACAAAAAAAAAAAAAGAAAAAGGAAAAGAGGAAATCTGCTGCATGTCATCTGTGGGTGATTGCATTTCACTGGTTTTTGAACTCATTCCTTTGTTTGTAAAGGAGATTGGATCCTTTGGCATAAATGAAACACAGATAAAAGTTATTGTTGCTTCCAAATCACATATCTACCTGGTAAAACTCCACTGGTTTTGTCACATTTCAAGAGGATGAATTCAATTTAATACTTTGAGAACCATTAATAACTTGAGAAGGATTTGAAATAAAATCCTTTAGTATTTACAAATACCGTTGCATTGGTCACTGATAAAGAAGAAGGTTTTTCTGAACAGCTGTGACATTTCACCTACCTCTCCATGTGGATGTGAGGCCATCAGAAATGGATACCTTGAATCCGCATCTCTATGTGCCTATGTAACTTACAGTGTAGTAATGTGTTGAATTTCAGATGCTATGCTGGATATCAATGCAGTACAATTTCGTTCTTTTCCAGGTCATTACGGAGGTTTATAAGGATCCAAAGAAGAATCCAAGTACTGCAATATCTAATTTCTGAGATCTCTGCAGACAAATTGTATTTTCTCCATTGTTTCAATGCATGGGGGAAGGGAAGTGTCACAGAAACTTACAAACCAGTCAGGGATTCACATGAAATAGTAAAGCTCTTTGAAAACTAAGGACAGAGAAAGATATCAAACCCTTACTCAAGAAGACAAAGCTATTTCTTTGACACAAGAATTCTTTTATATAAGAGCCTGAGACACCACTTTTGCACACTGCTATGCAAAACGTGACAAATAAAAACTGAACAATTAGAAAGTCTACAGAGAAGTCCTAACTGTTCTAAACATAGGACTAGAGTACTCATCTCAAAGGAGGCCAGGGTTAGAGGTGAGGATTCGGTTCTCAGTCTCTGTCCTAGGAGAATACTAAGATATTGGATAAAGGTGTTTCATGCGATTCTGTTCAAATAGGTAAGAAAGTTGACAATACTGGAAATCCCTGGTGAGGCCATCCCTTTTACAGCCTTACCAGGGTACAAGCACAAAGGAGTACAATAGGATCAGAATGTCTATTATGGAGATCACTGAACAGGGAATAAAGGTCTTCAGTGTCCTGTAGATGTACATGGCAGACCAGTAAGGCTTCTGAGTGACATAGTAAAGCCGCAGTGTCAGTGCTTGGTGTACAAGTCCTTTTGCAGATGTAGCCTAATGTGACAGTGACACACCAAAATATATTTGTAGCAGATCACTAGCATACAGTCTAAATTTGTTGTGAATTCTTCAGCACTGCAGGCTACATTTTTTCTTAAAGTTTCCAAATTCCACAGACCTCCAATGTAAGCTGTTGTCCTGTCATTAATGTTACACGTCAGGGTATGGACAGACTTCTTGTTTTCTAAAAGATGAAAAGGTACTTGTCACAAGAATAAGTATCTGTCTGTGATCCAAGTAGCACTGCAAATAACACTTTCTTATTCTTTTTCTATTTTATCTGTGTTTAAGCAGACTAAAGAAGAAATTTAAAGAATGTAAGAGACTCAGAAGTCCATGTAGCTTGTTGAAAGATCATGAAGAGATATGTAACAATATTTAGGAAATGACTAATACCTTCTGGAACAAAACTTTCCCTTTTAATAAAAGGCATTTCTGTTTTCCTGTTGGATTCCATGAACTGTCAGGAATATGAATAAAAAATATGGAAATATTCTAGAATAAAAGTAAGGCCTATCTTCTTAGATCCATTTATCTTGTCAAAGAGATTTAGCTTTTTTCTTCACCTATGGAATAACAGGATAAACAACAACAAAAAATGATAACCAGAAAGAAACAAATACATAGCAAAATGTGAGCAAGAAAGAATTGCAATGCCTCTACAGAGCCAAATATTTAAATTTTTGAGTGTTTGGGGATCTCTGTGGAATTTGTGAAATAAAGAATTATCGCTCCTGTAAGTTGCAAAATAATTTCTAAATGCCTAAAGAAAACAAATAGAAATTTCTTTAAAGAATAAAACTATTTAAATATTCAATCTGGACAAGTTGTCTCAGTTCATTCCTTTACTGATCAAGCTATATATAGAGGAAATGTCAGTGCTGACATTGTCAATAATCTATATTTATGATGTATTATATTTATTAATATATAAATATAATTTATTATTATTATACTCAAATATTCAGATATTTAAATGGCAAGGAACTATAGGAAACAATGTACCAAATTTGTGTGTCATAAAATGATGCTGTTGAGCTCAGTGAAACTTCCAGGTGTAAAAAGCATCAGAATTTCATTCCATACCTTCGTCTTCAGATATCAGCAGCAGTGAAATTGATTTCTTTTATAATTCTTGGAGGACCCTTCTAGCCATTAGACAGAACTACTGGACAGATCAACAAGAAGCTGCAAATGGGATTTTTCTGAAAATGGAACATAACTGTCAAAACTATTGCTTGTGTTGTAGAACAGATTCTCTCCTGATGTAAAATGACACAATTCCATTGACTGCAATGATGTTACACACAATTTATGCCAGAAGGATACATAGCTCTTTATCCATTTATCTATGAGCTGGTTGCTGTGACTTAATTTCACATGAATTATGTTACTGTTCTTGGTCTGTGCCCTTGCAGCACTTTATTACTTAGAGGGCTAGTTCAGCAGAAATAAATAAATATGTGATTTGCAGTCTCAGCAAACGTCCTAGCCAGGCACAATGGCCTCTCTGCAGTGTTCCAGGCTAATTACCCCCAATTTTCTTCTCTAACCTTCATATGCAATTCAGTCTGTTCTTGTACTATTCTCCTTACTATTTTTCCATCCAGTCCTCATGTTTGGATTTTCTCCAGTGTCAGCAAGTCTTTAACCATCAGCTCTTACGTATTCAAATTCCTTTAGAGAATAACTTCCTCTACAGTGATCATAAGAAACATGTATTACTTTTAAGAAAGTACATTACTTTAGAAAAGAATATGTTTTAAATCTTTCCTTCTTAAGCTCTCACCCTGAAGTTTTGTGTTTGATAGTATACCCCAGCATTTATGGTAACAAATCCTGTCATTATAGTTATGTCTTGTGCTTACTGGTATATCATCATCCAATGTTTTTCTAATTTCACAGTGAAAACCTGTCATCGAATATCATAAGCAGTTTAACTGATACTAATAAAAGTAGGAAGATTTTTAAGCTTATTTTAAGACTGATTGGCAGCAACTTTCTATCCAAAAACTGAATGCAATAGCAGTGAGTTAATGATAAGCATTAATAAATCGTGCTTGAGCTAATTTCTTAGGTACTAAGGACCTTTTGATGATTAGAGAACATGTCTGAAAATTGTTCTGGGCACCTATTTAATGGCCTGTGACTTTGGAAGGCATTAATCCAGAACATCGACTTCATTTTCTCATTAAGTCTTCTACATTATAGGAAGTTGTCTGTGAGGCCTGTTGGATTCAATGGTGGACAGGAAGAATGAAATTAAAGAAACTGTTATGAGTGAAATAAGTAGTTCCGAGCTACTTACTTTGGGGGACACCCACTGAATTTAACAGAATTGGTCTCCACAGTCCAGCTGCATTTCTGCTGAACACTTCAGCCAGGTGTGGAGCCTGAGTCTACTACTTCTGTGTGCTTATTCACTATGAGAGACCATAGACCATTCTGTTGAATACAATAAGTTTGTAAAAAGTAAAAGAAATATTCATGAAAGCCGTGATACCTGTGAAATGGAAATAATGTTGTTGTAGTTGAATTCTTTTATTAAGTCATGTGTAAGAAAAAAAGCACATTTTACATATAAATGGTACTTGTGTTATGTTGAAAGTTAAATTCTAAGCTGTCTACCGTAGATATGTTTTCCAAATATGTCCTTTATCCTTCCTTCCCTTTAGGTTTCTCCTTCTTGCTCTGTTCAACTCCTGCACCAGTCTGGACTGGGGAATTCTGTGCTCAGTTCCTACCTTTTGGATCATAACTCTGTCTTCTTTATTTCACCATTAAAATGACTATAATGTATCCGCCTTGTGGCTTATCTGACCTGGCGTTCTCCTTCTAGTGTCCCCTGTGGACACTTAAAAAGAACCATTATGAAATAAGATTATCACTATGGAAAATTTTACTCCTGGTCTCATTTAGTTAGCGTTGATATAACTTTTGATAAACTCGAACAAAATAGAGTCTTGCATCATCTTTTTCATATTGTATGCAGTTCCAGTGTTCCTAAGGTGCTCCCAAACTCAGAATCATAGTACAATATTATATCTCCTTTAGTCTATATGTTCAAGGTCTTGATAAAGTCTTTTCTTTCTGTCTGTTGTCAATGCATTAGGCCATATACTGTGGGTAGCTTTTTGCAAACATAGTTGGGTTCACCAGAGTTTAAAAATAAATTCTTAGATGACTTGGCCGGGGAAAGATTTTGCAGATGTTTTCCCTATCTAACACAGTTTAAATAAGATGGTTCTATGATATTCTCAATAATATTCTTAGAATATTAACTTTCCATCAGAGAAATGTGTTTGTAAAATCAAAACATGCTAAAAAAGATCTTATTTTGTCAATGTAGGTTGTTGATATTGCATTTCTAAATGTAGTTAAACATACTTTAAAATGAAATTATATTAAAGTTTTTGACACATTGAGTTATTCATGATACTAGTCTTGTACTTCAGTACTTTGCACATCAAAGGTCTGTCTTTGACTTTACCCCAATGCTCTCTCACTCCCTAGTGCTTGCTTATGCTTCTGTCCCTTCTTTCCTGTCCCATGACCCATGCCCCATGCCTGACCATAGTAAATCCTGCCTCTTTTCAGTGAAATATCAGATACACTATTTGCATTATACAGATAAGTCAGTATATGATGAGAATGAGTGAGGAAAGACAGCACCTGTAGTGCAACCTGTGTAGAAAACAGTCTCAGTTCACCAAGAACCATTTGAAAGCCTTACATAAAACAATTCTCTTAATGTTCCTGTTGGCTTCATGACAGCTATTCTATATGTTTGCTCTACAGAAAATCATATAAATTTATGAAAATATTAACTTATAGAAGTCTAACCTGACCTTATGCAATATCCAGCTGAAGAATGTAAGGAATCTTCCTTCTTTTTTCTCCATACATCATCCTTTATTGTAGAGTTTTAAATAGCACTATATGATGATTAATTGTTTGTTATTATGGTAAAAAACATTAGAATGTTTTTATTTCATTACACTTATATGAAGGTGTGATGTTTATATTTAAGGTAGTATTACCAAAATAACCCAACCACTTCATGCCCAATTTAGCAAGTTAGAACTATGGAAATCCAGAATAAAACAAAGTAAATTTCCCTGCTTTACAGGCAATTTCCATGTTTTAGGAACAATTTCAGATGCAAGTTTTAAATATCTATTTAATTGATATAGGATAGTTTTTGTAAATTAATTGAGCAAGAAATTGTTATTCCCCTTATATTCCAGTGAGTTTCTTCCAAACTTACCATTTCTCTCCACCCAATCATGACTAGCTTCCAAACGTACTCACTGTAGGCCTGGTTCTGCATTTGGCTTTAAGCTTGGGACTCTTTGTTAGAAGTCTTCTACATACAGGGAGGGAGTTGACTTTAATCTTTTCTGTAGGTATGACACCAGGGTTAATTTATTACTCTAAAAGTGCAGGTAAACTTAGCCTATCAAGTTTTTTTAAGTCTGAACTCCTAAAATATTCTTAGCATTAAATATGAAATACGTGGCTGCCTTGGAACAGATACTTTATTTCTGTGTTTGAACAGAAAGTCCTTTTTGTTTACAGTTTTGTTACACTGGCCAATTATACTGAATATATATTGAGCCAAGTACATGTTAAAAAGTTCACCAAAATCTGTGCTGTTTCTCTGTTTTGAACACAGCTTAATTTGGCCCCTTGGCTC